CCGTTGACATCCGTGAGATTACCAATAGGCTGTACGACTACTGTTGGTCTCTTCAACGAGACGTTTTGAAGCTGTCACTGACAGCCTGTCAGGTATGCTGATGGAGAGAAGAGGCGTGCTAAGTTGGAGCAAATGCAGGAGGAGGCCGAGCTGAGGGAGATTGCTGAGTGCCAAGGATTTCGTCCGAGAGTCTCTCAAGGAAGTGGTCCTCTTCGTTTAGCGGAGCGGAGCAAAGGTGTCTTCATCTGCAGGTACTTTCCAACCTCTCGCCAGGGTCCCGAGGATGGATAAGAGAGATCGAGATGTCACCGGTTCGATTCCTGGGACCAGCATGAGCGCCAAAAGGAAGAGCGCTGGTCATCAACGTCTGTGAGTAAAGAACGTGCGGGAGTGACATTGAAGAGTTATAACAGGTATGCCGAGTCGCAGGCTCGAAAAGAGAGGATGGAGAAGTTGGCCCAGGCCGTGAAAGCGGAGGAGGACAAGGAATGTACTTTGCCGTTGGGCACTGCCGCATTCTCAACTCCATGATGGCGTCTTGGTAACTGGAGACAGGATGGTGACGTCAGCAGGTACCTATCAGCCCAACTTGCGGAAGTCATTGGGCCGATACAGGCCCACGAGCAGTTCCAATTTGGGTGGCCGCAGATCTCCGATTGGCAGTGGTGGGGTTCATGAGAACCTCTATCGTGAGAGGGCTGCCAGAGATGAGCGCATCCGGAAGATGAGAGAGTGAGGAGGACGAGGAGCGCCGATGGTCATAGTCATAGTGGTAGCTGTTAGGGAGAAGAAGGCTCTGGAGGTCTGCAGTATGGGCTCTCGAAGTACCCCTAAAACGCCGATGGGGAAGGATCTTCATGCCTCTCTGTACTCCGACGAATAATTGTCTATACAAGATGTGCCCGGTTTTAGCCACGATGAGGCGCATAAGCGGAAGGCGGAGGCTGAAGCTGTAGAGAAGGAGAAAGAGGAGATGGTTAAATCACTCCCCCATGCCTCCAGGAGGACACCCGTCGGAGTTGGTCTAAGTGATGGTCTTTTGTGAGGCCTCCCGACTGGCCGGAATGTATGTATTCTTTCAGATTTGAGGAGTCCAAGATGAAAAATGATGATGCTTTGATGATGAGAGTGAAGGAAAAGGAAGAGAGAAAGGCGGCTGTCCTTGACAAGGGTTGGAAGTATTCGATAACTGACGACTATCATTATCGCCGCCATACCAGGTCGTGCTACTACGATGAAGCCGTCCACGAGTGTGGGGTTGCCTCTTGTGTAGTGAGATTCCCTGCCGACTATTGCTCAGGGAACATCGATAGGTCCTCTGCCAATCGTCGAGCTCGAAGTTGTGACTCTACTATGGCTGGTC